ATTATCATTATTTCCCTTAATTTTTTACTTTTCCTTCTAATACTTTGTCTTCTTAAAAAGTAAAAATAATAAGGAGAAAAAGGATAGTCATCATTAAACATATGGCCATTTATCATTTAAAAGTAAAGAACATATGGCCATTCATCATTAAAAAGTAGAGAACAAGGGAACAATCAATCGGTGCAAAGATGTCTTACCTGTAATTGTCCAAGAATGTGGCCATACTGAAGTCCAATTATGCACGTCACAGCAGCTGTCAAGGAACTTCAAATACAGGGTGTCAACAGTACACATTACAACTCCTTGAAGGTTTAATAAACTATGAAGTATAGTCACTTATGCATATCTAAACTCAAACTATTAAACAAATGTGCCGGAATCATATAAGTTATAAATCTAAATATGCTTTCATGACTAATCCAATTTAAGGAACCATTTAATCATAGTCAAATATAAATGACGTCATCTTACCAGTTCAAAATACCAATATCTCAAGTGTATTGCATTTTCATGTAATAACAACGAAGACAACGATGATAAGACGATACATAATAGAACAAAGGTTTTGAAGTACCATCATCAAGGAAAAAGAAAGGATTAGATTGGTCACCTTAATATACCTTCAAGATCAAAAGGAGTATGACACCATGACGGTGAATTATCTGAAATTTGGCCAATGCTGGAAATATTGCATTCCTGTGAAGGGGATACCATATAGGAATCAACTGATTGCAGAATGCAAACCAGAATTTTACAAAATTTTACCTTCAGAATCGAGTTACCTTCAAGTTTTTACAAACAGGTTTTGTATATAGATGATTAAGACCAAGAACACAACGATCTATCATTGCAGCAGCATTACAGGCAGGTCCATGATCTCCTCTTGTGGAACATGTCACCTAATATGACAAACTTCACAAGTTTTTGTAATATGGATGATTATCTTCTGTGTAATTTCTCACATATTAGCAAGTATTCTGCTATTATATATGTCCCAATATCAAATAGAAGAAAGAAATCAGTTGATGCTTAATGCAGTAATATTTGAGAATCACTATAATCACTAAGAATGGGGGGGAGGTGAGTATATGGCAATGAAAGATAAATTGTGTCTTTACTGAATATTACTTTAATCAAGTTCTATCCGCTTCTCATTTTTTTTTCTTTTTTTTTTCGAAAGGTGAGTAAAAGATATTTTTGTTGTCCAAATATTAACAACAAATCCACGAAGTGCAATCTGAAAGTTTTCAACCATTCAATTTAATGTTATTGTTTGGAACTCACTAATATATACAGAGTAGAAAATGTTATTCCTGCAGATGCAGATGTAACCAGCATGTAACTGATTGTGTACAGAGGTTTGTTCAAAGGGATACCTGAAAGGAAAAGAAAAAGTCAAATATCAGTATCTTGGCTATTGAAGCGTATAAATTTAAATCCAGATTTTAATTTCCTGGCATCCCTCTCAAACGAATAGGAGCACCCAAGGTCAATTTCAGCCATGTAGAAAAAAATAAAAAATAAAAAATAAAACAGAATTCTAACATTGGCAGTGCAGAAAATCCCATTTAGCATTATCATTATTTTCCTTAATTTTTTACTTTTCCTACTAATACCTTGTCTTCTTAAAAAGTAAAAATAATAAGTAAGAAGAAAAAGGATAGTCATCATTAAGCATACCTACTAGGGCAAGGAACAATCCAATTCCCAAAAATGAAAATGAAAATATGCACCAGTTGTATAACTGCTCTTTATGGTCCTGCAACACATTTCAGAAACGTTAAATTCCCTTTATTTATGTAACTAATAGGAACACAACAGATGATTTCGGCCATTCGCGGTATGTATCTCTGAAATAAAATTGCGTCTCCATGAATGAATTGTCTTTTGAGTCCTCTAATAAAGGGAATGCTTACATTCTAAAAGTGTAATATAAGCATTAAGCAATAATATTTTTGGAAACTGTCTCATTTTCATCCAAGGAATGCGCAAAAGTATTAACTTAACAGCAATGACAGATGGCCATTCATCTAGATTAATTCGTAAATCCTGCATGTATTGGCATTAATCTTTTTACAAAGTAAACTCATCGATTGAGTTTTGTGAAATGCTAGGCTTCGTGAAAAAACATCAAAAAAAAGCTTCGTGAAGATTCTCCATCTTTAGATTAGTTTGTAGTGTTTTATTGTATGTCATGCAATCACCCATAAATTAGTTTCATGAAGTTTTTCTTGATATTTCTTTCATGAAGTGTAGCATTACTCTTTGAGTTTTCTAAGAATACACGTGTCCATTAAAGTCTAGCAGTAAACACCAAAATTAAGAGAAAAGATAAAAAGTAGAGAACAAGGGAACAATCAATTGGTGCAAAGATGTCTTACCTGTAATTGTCCAAGAATGTGGCCATACTAAAGTCCAATTATGCACGTCACAGTAGCTATCAAGGAACTTCAAATACAGGATGTCAGCAGCACACATTACAACTCCTTGAAGGTTTAATAAACTATGAAGTGCAGTCACTTCTGCATATCTAAAGTCAAACTATTAAACAAATGTTCCTGAATCATATAAGTTATAAATCTAAATATGCTTTCATGACTAATCCAATTTAAGGAACCATTTAATCATAGTCAAATATAAATGACATCATATTACCAGTTCAAAATACCAATATCTCAAGTGTATTGCATTTTCATGTAATAACAATGAAGACAACGATGATAAGACGATACATAATAGAACAGAGGTTTTGAAGTACCATCATGAAGGAAAATAAAGGATTAGATTGGTCAGCTTAATATAACTTTAGGATCAAAAGGAGCATGACACCATGACGGTGAATTATATGAAAGTTGGCGAATGTTGGAAATATTGCATTCCTGTGAAGGGGATACCATATAGGAATCAACTGATTACAGAATGTAAACCGAAATTTTACAAAATTTTACCTTCGAATAGAGTTACCTTGAAGTTTCTATAAATAGGTTTTGGATATAGATGATTAAGACCAAGAACACAACGATCTATCATTCCAACAGCATTAGAGGCAGGTCCATGATCTCCTCTTGTGGAACATGTCACCTAATATGACAAACTCCATAAATTGAGGATTTAGATTATTTAACAAGTTTTTGTAATATGGATGATTATCTTCTGTGTAATTTCTCACATATTAGCCAGTATTCTACTATTATATATGTCCCAATATCAAATAGAAGAAAGAAATGAATTAATGCTTAATGCAGTAATATTTGAGAATCACTATAATCACTAAGAATGGCATAGACATCCTTCTATCTTAAGTTGACTTGAACACTACAAAACATGGTTTCCATAATAAATCACATGCTCTGAAAAAGCATGAAGATTGGAATATTCAAATTCAACAACGGTGATTGGAGATGAAAGTAAGCTCACACATTCATTCCACTTCAAAGTCAACGAACTCACCTTCCAACCAAGTCACAATAAACACACGCGCACACACACAACCACACAAAAAAACAACCAAAAAAAAAAATTAAGTGTCTCCCTACCAACATCCCTAAAATTTCCAAGAGAGTGTCAACTTGACAAATCGATTGTTGGCAGGAAAGTTAAGGAGTATAGAGCATAATCTTACAGTGTAAACAAAGCTTCCATTTGTGGGAGGCATAGAAGTTGAGCTCAGTAACTCGAATTTCCAATCTGGAACATACAGGCCATATGACAACCCAAAGTATACTACCAACAAGGCACATGCAATGCACCTACAAAACAACATTTCACATTGTCACCAACTATTGAAGGGCACAAACTGAAAGAGGTAGAAGATTAAGAAAAAATGAATTTTTTTCTGTTTAACTGAATTAACCATTCAGAAACATAAAATGTTTGAAACTTCGTTTCAAAAACTTTATGAACATCAGTTCATCTTATGAAGAATTAAAAGTGGAACAAATGGAAGTCAGCAACCAATATTGAGTGGATGGATCATACCCATGTATAAAAATTTGATCTGCTAAATTTCAACAATTATTTGAAAGTTTCAATACCAGAATCACATCGTTGCATTTATTTATTTATTATTTTTAATTTAAGAATAGATAGATTTCTCACAAAATATTCAATTGGGCAGAGCGTTGTGATTTGGTTGCTTGGTTAATTTTAAGTACAATGTAGTTTTAACTTAGATTATGATTTGTGAATTTAAAATCATCTAAGCTTATATGGTGCATATATGGAATGAGGTGATCCACATTGAACAATATGTTGAGGTATAATAACTCACGAGAATGTCTAGTAGGATAGTTGAGAGATTAAAGTAAAGTCAGATATTCCCTTCATTGTGAAGTGCCACACTTTTCTTGTTATTCTTCCTTTTGTAATTTTTTTTTTTTTTTCTAACTTATGAAAAGCACATCTTCCATTTTCTTTCTCATGCTACTTAATTCACAAAAATCCTGAACTTTGCCCAAAGATGACCATGTAAATGATTCAAAACAATTTATTAATTTAAATACAGGCCATTTATGCAAGTTTCTAATTGATTTTGGGAGAAACAATTAGGAAATTAGCTATGTACTTCTTTTTCTTTTTTTCTTTTTTTATTGATAATGCATCATCATACTATCTCAATGTTTCGAAGGGTAATAATATTTTTTTAGTTTTCATCATGATGCTCAATCTGATTCAATAGAATAAATGCTTGACAATTTAGCATATCTGAAGTGAATGAGGCTAAACATCCAAGTATTCGTCGTCATCATTATCAAATGTGTTAACTACTCTTTCATGTCTCATAAAAGTTTTGAAAGATGAATCTAAATGTTTAGTAAAATATATTAAGGACAGTGAAATATCCACCAAAACCCAATATTTCAACCCATAAAAGGAAACAAAAGAAGTAAAATAAAAGTTTCTTCAAGTAAATAACTCCAACTTTTTAAATATTATGCACAAGCCTTGAACAATACAGAACGTAAAATGATGCCAGATATGGTAACTAACGATTGCCAATAATATCTCCTGGAAAAACCTACTCCCTTCCACCTTTAACATGCTCGACTTTTCGTGCTCCTTTTAGAAGATAGTAAGTCCTACAGTTCGAACTCCCGTGGTTTTGAATCTGATTCCACCAGTGCAATGTGAAATAGAAAACACAAAAGAGTCCAAATCCAGCAAATCTTTTGGAAAATCGATTTTGAAGCAAAATGCTAAAAATGGACTGTTTTGCCAGATATAGAGTCACCACTTAAATATTTTTGGAAAATTTAGGAAACCCATGACTCGTTACAAAGGCCACGTGTCCGTCATCACCAAGATTGTCTCGGCTCGAGAACTTAGGTACGAGAGGGGAAGGTCATGAATTGAGCACCCCCGCTCGCCCGATTAAAGATCGGCCTCTACTAATCATGATGTGATTCGTATCTACATTATATGCTCTTGTTTCGATTATTAAACTAACTTACTATGTGATGCGCACACAAGTATAGACTAATTTGCAAAAATTGGAATACTTTGATTTCATGTTTGTTTTGAAAATTATTTCGAATATGTACTACTTGAAAAAGTGATCGCATATGTACATTACTCAAATTATTTCAATTTAAGCAATTAGCCTTCATCCATAGGCATTCAAGCAATTTATCATTTAAGCACTTAGCCTCATGGTGAACATGCTTTGATATGGAAACAACCACATTCATGCAATATGCTAAAACATAGAAATGCTCACCTGGTACTCCGAGGCAAGCCAAAAGAGATAAAAGAGTTAGAAAAATGCATGATCTCAACTATGCAATATTATTAATGCAACGCATACAATATGCAATCTAAACAGGTTCGGTTACTTAACATAACATGTGAATCAATTTGATAGCATGCGGTCTAAGCACGTATTCAAAGAAGTATTTAACTAACAATGCAAGTTAGAATGATGTGTCGAGCCCAATGCATGCAAGATAATGGATGCAAGGCGTAAGAGATGCTAAATGAAATATGATGCCTTAAACTAACCATCATAAGTAGGTAAATAAAAAGGAGAAAGACGTGGGGTTGGAAGACATACACATTATTACAATTATGCCCTCGCGCAGGAAGGTCCGAATAAACTGGCTAGCTAAGCTAATTACTTTGAATTAACTAACAATTACAAACTGAATGAAATAATTAACTAAACTAGCTAGTTAATTATTACAACAAATTAAATAACTAATCTAGAAATAATTAGAACACAAAACTAACTAAATATTTACAAGACAAAATTAACTAGCTACAACTAATTAATTACAACAAATAACTAAGCTAAGTAATTAGATTAAACAACCCCAGGAAGCGAGGAGTGCTGATGCATGCGCACAGATTCCCACCCGAAAAAGCCACTGTTCTGCTACCAAGAAGCCTCTGTTGCACAGTTAGAACGCTTGCACTGTTTTTTCACCTCAAAACCCAACCCTGTTCTGTTAGAAAAGCACACTGCAGGGTTTTACAAAGGTGGCCGGTCGGCCGACTATAAAAGGTGGCCTGCGGGCCACTGATGCCTAGTTTTTCCTGCTACAATAGAAAGCAAATAGAGAAAGCATAGGGTATTCTCAAGGGTTGTTTGCACAACTTACCCCTCCTTATTATCAAACAGCTCAAAGGAGTAGTAAACTTGATTCACAAACCATCAATCGATGCAATTTCATTGCATGATAGCCTATGAACCCAAGGGTGCAAGTTCAATAAATGCAAAAAATAAAGACTCTCAAACCCCCTCCATATCATGGATTGATCAAGGGAAGCGGTTGACAATGACTCTTGAACCATTTGCATCACTAACAAGTATGAAACAACTCAAGACTCAATGGTTCAATTAACGTCCAATTGAACCCAAACCAAGTTATTATCTTGTATCATTTTAGTCCAAGTTTTATTATTCCATTTTAATTAGCTTTCCATTCTTTAACCAATTGAGTCCAAAAGTGAGCTTTAAGTCGTCTAATGGAAAGAAGCACCAAACCAAAAGTTGTTTTAGGCATGGGAGAAGTGTTATGCCGTTGGTAATGAACCCCCAAAGCGATTAAACTATTAAGCACAAGACCTCAATCTCATGCTTTAAACAAGAAACTAGTTTGAACCAGCTTTCAAAGCAAAGAAAAAGCCACGAATGGAGAAAGGTTGCAGAAGTGATTAGGGGTGAAAACAAGTATGGAAAGTCAAAAATAAACACTATCAACTCAAATAGGTTGGTAGCTAAGGCCTAAACCACCAAACCTATGAGGACCATTACACTACAAGCATGTAATATAAAGCATAAATGACACAACCAGCCCAAAATAGTCCTAAAGTAAGCAAAAAAAGTGCTGGAATTTAGATTAAAATAGCTAAAAGACTAAGAAAAAATAATAGAGAATTTAAGCTAGTAAACAAGCCAAAGGAGGGGTGGCTAACCCCTCCATTTTTGGGACCTCAAAACATGATTTTTAGCCTCTGAAAAACTCTGAAATTCAGTCGTAAAAAGCTCAAAAAAAGTTGATAACAAGGTGGGAAACACAAGGGTAAAAGTCTATGAAACAAGGTTCAAAGAAGGGTGATCCACCCCACTACCTTTAATGGCTTTAAACCACAAGTTTCAGCCCAAAATAAAAGTCCCAAAACAGTCCAAAAACAACAAGAAAATATTGAGAACAAGTGGTGTAGAGATGGTGCAAAAACACTAGAAGGTATACCTCTTGAAAAGGAATACTTCTTTGAGTTACAAACCACCAATTTTACATTCTCAAGTGCCTTAAGAGCTCAAATTCAAGCTCAAATCACCTCAGCAAAAAGCTCTCTAGGTTTAGTTTAGAGTGTTTAGGCAAGTTGCAAGAGAAAGAGAGAGTTGTAGAGAGAGGAATTTTTCAAAATTTGCTCTTCAAAAATATTTTCTCACTCCTAAATTTTTCTAACCTTAAAACCAAGAGAGAAGGACCTCTACATATAGAAATATATGAGCTTCAGTCGAAAATATCTATATAGAGACAGGTGGAGCAATGTGGAAACAACTAGCACAAATATCTGCAAAAAAATTGACTTTTGACACAAATGGCCGGCAAGCCACTAGTGGGGGACACTTGGAAGGCCAAAACACTCAAAATGGCCAAAATGTTCACAACTGGCCGGCAGGCCACCATTAGTGGCCGGCTCCAAAAATCTGTTTCCAGACCCGATTTCAAATCAACATATCTCCCTCATCCGGACTCGGTTTTAGGTCATTCTTGAGTCTAAATTGAAGCCCTAGAAATATAATTTACAATGGTGGTGGCATCACATCTAAATTCTAAGTGTGCAAAGAGATATGCCTATTTTAGGGAAGGCTGCTCAGTTTTGTCCTAACGGATTGATGTCTAACTTTTCCCCTAACTAGTTTTCCTCCCGCCCCTCCTATTTTCTTCAACTCCAAACCTCAAAATAAGATATTTTGAAGTTTTTTTCAAAGAGTTAACCTCCCTTTCATTTATTTCTACTTTGTCCTTACTTAGTTTACCGTGCAATATTTAACGAAATGCAAGCCTTGGTACATCGTAGAAACTTTTAGGAAAAATATTTTGAAAAAAGAGGGTTTTGAGGTCTTAAATAATTTTGGTCAAAAATAGTTTTGGTCCAAAATAAGGTGTAAGGTTGGGATTTAGAAGCTCTTCTTGCTGAAGAAATTGAGCAATTAGACAGCGTAACTTTCATCATCGAGTGATCAATCAGTGGCGCCCAAGTCTTAAGAGCGGTAAAAAATGGAGTGTATACACCATATCTCACACAAAGCTGCGACAATGTATCCAATGGATGTCCTCTGGATTGAATGAAAAGATGCAGAAGCTCATTATTCCTAATAAAAGAAAACAGGGTTGCAGTACAGAAACGCTTCCCTCAACTATTATTTGTACCACACATTCACACTAGTAAATAGGTTTATTATGTTTATGACCTGGGTGGTTATCACTATTTTGACAATATTGCCAAAGTTCAGTGAAATTCCTGGCAATT